AAAAAGCCAGAATGCAGTTTAGTGATGGAGTGCTTGCCTAACATGCCTTAGGCCCTGAGTTCCATCTCTAGCCCTCCACCCCCACCCCAAATAAAACCCTCCTGTCCACCCTCAATACACAGGTTCTGCCCAGAAGCCACTGATGTGCTAAAAATGGGGAACAACTGCCAAACGGTCCTGATACCCAGGCCTACCTGCCAGGTCACAAGTGGCATGCTGGGGTCCTTGTCAGCACTCACTTAATTATCAGAGTACATCCACTTAAACCCTTCCAATGTAAACAAGTTTATCCCTGTCCTGAAGGGATGCAGCACCTGGTCACACCCTTCCCAGACCTGGTACTAATCTAGCTGATTCCAAGCCTTCAACTAACATGATAGTACCTCTCTGGCTGGTGTAGTCACAAGGCAGATATGGCCAGACCTACCTATCCCTCTCCAAACACCAAGCCCCAGGGACCTGTACCAAGGTGATCCACTCATTCCCCCAGTCAGTGGTACAGCCTATAGGGCCTCAAGGGATCCCTTCAGATCTCACCCACCCACCCACACACACACACACACACAAAGCAACACATGAACCTGGCCCAAGGGATCTAGCAAAAACAACCTGTGGCTCCTTGGTGGAATGTAAAGGGATTCTGCAAGAGGAAAAAGGCAGTGTTACATGACAGGTGACAATAGCAAGAGGGAGATCAGTGCACTTTGTTAGTGCCCTCTGCGAGACTTAGGTCCTGAAAGACCTGCCAAGTCCTCTCTGGACTTAACAAAGGATAGGAGAGTAACAACCCTTGACCTGGAAAAGGGTTCATGCTGTTAAGGACTGTGTAAAGAAGGACTGCTACAGAATTAAGGTCTGTTTCCACCAGGTAGGACCCACAACTCACAGGGACAGGCCAGGCCTGGGGGCGTCTCTCAGGGGAAAGCCACTGGGAAGTGCCTAGCATGCCACAATCAAGGCCAAAATGTGCACTTAGGGTCTGCAACTAGCTCCTCTCAAGTAAGAAACAATTAAGAACTTCTAGGTAACAAAGCAAAACAGAAATAACAGGATGTGCTACACACTTTAGGTTTTCTGTTGTTGTTACTTCTTGCTTGTTTGGACTTTTGTTTTGAGACAAAGTCTCCTTATGTATTCCAAGCTGGCATCTGGCCTCCAACTGCTAGTAGTCCTTTTACCTCAGTCTCCCAGGTGCTGAGATTACAGGCATGTGCCACCATGCCTGGCTTAGACACTTTGGAAAGAATACTGAAATGATAATAGACTTTGCTTCCCAGAAAACTCAGTCTAATAAAGGCAGACTTGGAAGGCTTCATATGTACTGACCAGAAGCAGCTTCAGGGGTCTGTTCTTTACTATATGAAGTACAAACCCCCTAGCTGTGTGGCAGACCACCACAGCCAAACCCTGCTGTCATCAAAGGTAAGTACCGCTCTGTTTTCTTTTCTATACATCTTTTACCTCTATAAAAGATGTTTTATTGTGTTTTTCTTTTTTTTTTTGGTTTTTCTCCGGTACCAGGAACCGAACTCACGACCTTGCACTTGCCAGGCAGGCGCTTTGCCGCTGAGCTAAATCCCCAGCCACCCCGCCCTTTTTTTTTTCCCCGCTCTCAGTATTTCCTAATTTTTCACAAAAAAACATATGAGGTATGATTGTATAGTGAATGTTTAAATTTTGAAAAAATTTATTACAGTAAGACATATTGTCATTAATGCTCGTCAAAATACTCTTACTTTGAACACACTTATCCCATTATTCTTCACTTTCCGAAACAATTCTAGAAGTCCTCTTTTGTGTCTTTTTTTTTTTTTTTTTTGAGACAGGCTGGCCTCAAACTTTCAGCAATCCTCCTACCTCTGCCTGCTGGGTTTACAGGTGTGCACTACCACATCTGGCTTCTTTCTTGTCTTTAGTTGAGCTGTTCTGGCTATCTTAATGTCCTGAATTAATTCAAAATGCTTACCATTCACTGTTTTTTTGAACTTGGGAAAGAGCTAGAAGTTGCATAGTGTCAGGTGTGTTGAACAAGGTGGGTGAAGACATACTATAATTTTTTTCAAGCCTGTCTTTTCACTGGATGGCACATGGCAGCAGCATTCACCATACTTTTGATCATATCTCATAAAGACATTCATATGAAAGAAGACTTCCAGAACTGCTTCAAGAAGTGGCAAGAGCCAGGTGTGGTGGTGCACACCTGTAATCCCAGCACTTGGGAGACTGAGGCAGGAGGATCGCTGTGAATTCAAGACTAGCCTGGGCTACAAAGTGAGCTCAAGACCAGCCTGAACTGCATAGCGAAATCCTGTCTCAAAAAAAAAAAAAAAAGAAGAAGTGGCAAGAAGCCAGGCATGATGGTGCATGCCTATAATTCCAGCACTTAGGAGGCTGAGAGGACGATTGCCACAAGTTCAAGGCCAGTCTGGGCTACATAGTGAATTCAAGGCAAGTATGAATTACACAATGAAACCTTGTCTCAAAAGAAACAAAACAAAGCCAGGTGTGGTGGGTGCACTCCTGCAATCCTAGTACTTGGGAGGCTGAGGCAGAAAGATCACTGTGAGTTTGAGGTCAGCCTGGGCTACATATTGAGTTCAAGGCCAGCCTGAACCATATAGTGAGATCTTGTCTCAAAAAACAAAGAAGTGGCAAAAATTATGGCATAAGTGTGTTTGAGGAGGAGTATTTTGAGGGAGGTTAACTTCAATGTGTCTTACTGTAATAAATTTTTCAAAATTTAAACACTATATATTTTGATCATACTGCATTTGTTTACTGTTTCTAGAAAATGATGACAAGCAAAAGGAAGACATTGTACATTTTTGTAGATGTAAAAGATGGATATTATTCTTTCTTTAAGGAAAAAAAGAACCACAGAATGCAACCTTTGCCCCAGTGCTCCTGGAGTCTGGAGGCAGCTTGGGGTTGTACCCTATGGTTTCCCCCATAAATTACCCTCATCTATGGTACCAGAAAAGGGATAATAACAAGTACTCAACACTGTGAAAGACCTCCTTGAGTGGTTCCTGCTGGTCTCTGATTACCTGAGGATTAACAACTCCAGTGAGACTTTGTGCTGAAGGCACTGGCACCTGCTGTGGGTACTGGGGTGGGGGACAGTGGTGGGCCACAGAGCTCAGCAAGCTACACTCAGGCCTTATGCAGGACTCTAGCACAGGTGCTACCCTTCCTAGCTGGGTGTCCTCCTCCAGCCCACCCGCAGAGGGGAGATGGCAGAGAGTTGATGCTGACCAACTTTAGTATAGATAAATGTCACACATGAGTCCACAGGCAGCATCTGTCTCACTTCTTGCTACATCTGAGAAGCTTCGCATATAGGAAGCCATGGCTACAAAGGCATAATCAGCCTTTCCAACACCTCATCCACTCCCATCTGACACTCCCAACACTCCCATCTGACACTCCCAACACCTCAGTGACCCTGCCAACACCTGCCTCAGTGACGTCAATCCTGCTCTGCCAACACTCACTTCAATGACTTCAACTCAACCCTGCCAATACTCACCTCAGAGACTTCAATCCAACCCCACCAATATCTACCTCAGTGACCTCACCCCAGCCCTGACCAGTACCTGCCTCAAGTGACCTTAATCCAGCACCCCTTACAACCACCTCATGACTTAAATCCAGCCCCCTGTGGACACCCACCTCAGTGACAACTCAGCCCCATCATCCATCTCACTGACTTCCATCTGACTCCACCAACACCTCAGTGATTTCAATTCAACCCTGCCAACACCCACCTCAGTGACTTTAATTTGTTTTTTTGTTTGTTTGTTTGTTTGGGGTTTTTTTTTTTTTTTTTTTTGGCTTTTTTCCTGGTACCAGGAATCGAACTCATGACCTTGCGCTTGCCAGGCAGGTGCTGTGCCGCTGAGCTAAATCCCCAGCCCCTCAGGGACTTTAATTTGATCCGCTCTGATACACAAATTTTTCTTCCCCTGGGGCTCCTGAAGTGGGAGAAATGCTATGAAGCTTGTGAATGGCAGGAAGAAGAGCAGGCTGGGCCCCTGGACATCATGCACAGAGGCAGACAGCTGTAGACACAGGGTCCTGCCTGGAGCAGACTCATCTGAGGCCAGAAGTAATGGAATATGCATCGGAACCTGTGACCTTTCTCTGAAAGCATCCAAACCCCTAAGCATTACCCCTACCTGCCTCAACCTGCTCCTAGCTGAGGACACTGCACTATTTCTCTGGATCTTTCACAAATCTGGGGTGCATCACAATGAGACAGAGCTCACAGGCACATCCCACTCATTGAAGCAGCACCACCTCTACGGCAGTCTGTTCAAGACTTCCCTCCTTTCCAGCCTCAGTGCAACAAGCAGATCAGAAAGCATGCTGGGGGGCCTAGGGAACAAAGAACGAGTGTGCCCTCCACACCAGTGCACAACCCTGTGCACACACCCATATATATGTAGTGCTACTGCACAGGCAAGACATGCCCCCGCATCCTGCTCTGTGCTGCCACCCTACCCCTCTCCTGAAGATCTGATGCAGCCTCTGGTTCATTGCCCACCTTTAATACTTCTAATCTGTACATTATGACTTGTGATTCAGTCCAGGGTATCCCTAGCCGCTTCGTAATTCTGAGGGGTCCTATGCAGACAGGAAACACACCTCTGGTGAACAAGCTGCATTTCAACAGCTTGGGGAGGCCACTGTGGTGGCTGTGCAAGGCTCAGGGCACATTTTACAGCACCATGCAGACAGCCCAGTAGCCACAGCTGTGAGGACAACACTGACAGCTGGCGAACTGGGGACCCAGGCACCCCCTGGCAAGGTGACCTAGGAGTGGAGGCTCTCACACTCAGAGGGGGCCACAGGAAGATACATCCTGCAAATACAGATGGGCTATTAGGAGAAATCTGATGTTCAGATATAAAAATACCCGGAGGAAGGAATAAAGCAACTCAGAAACAATCAGGAGAAGCATCCATTTGAAAGATAACGAAGAAAGTCGCTGATCTTACCTGTGCGCCCCTGGAGTAGGACCTGAAGATGGTACAGAACCTGCCCTGGCCCGACGTATCCCTGAAACACATGGGGAGGGTCAGGAGGAACCACAGCCATGGGACCCTCTGGGTGCAAATGTGGTCCCTGTGTGAGAGGCTTGCATCCCACTTTCTCTCACTCTGAAGCTCACCCTGAACATGCTGGGGACACTGGGGGAGGGTGGCTAGAGCTGGCACAGATGGACTGTACCAGAAAGGTGCCAAATGCACAGACCACACCAGTAGAGCACCTTTAGACCACCTAGGCAGGCAGCAGAGGGGATCATCCTTAATCACCTGGTCGAGTGAGTCTCCCTGTTGGGTCTACGAGCCTGGGACACTTCTGGACAATCTCAGACCTGGGGTATTCACACCTTTGAAGTTCTGGGATATGGTCTTTAAGGTGAAGCCCATAAAAGGCTGTGGAGAAGGGCTGTAGCCCCTGCGGAAACAAGATTTTATGGGCAAAAAGGAAAGGAGGCTCTATCAGAACTAAATGCCCTACACTTTGTTTTTCCTACCACGGAGCAAAATTCTACTTGAATAGGTTATGTTTAAATGGCTACTGCAAGTGAGAGGTAGGTCGGGCACCTTCCTGCTTTCTCACTTGGCTTCCTTGTCTCCATCTGATCACCCTGACTCACCAGAGCTCCAGCTTGACGCGACGGCCGTCCAGTAGGATGGTGGTTGTCTTGTAGTCAATCCCTGGGAGGAAGCATGGGGGAAGCGACCATTAGCAACACCTCACTCAAGTCTGCTGCAAAGTAGAGAAAAGCTTCCTCTACTCCCACAGTGACCTACTGGGAAGCAGGGTGCACACTGCCCTAGGCTGTGGCATTCTCAAGACCCCAACCCAGCACATAGTAAACATAGGGATCATAACAGGATATCAGCTGCATGTTATCTCTGCCACCTTTTCCAGCCTCTCCTGGGGCTCTGAGCCCAGCATTCCTACAGGAGGACGGCGAACCTCCACTCTGACCTACTGTATACAGACTCTGAAGCTGAACACTCAAGGGATGATGCATTTCCCAGTTCTCAGGTTCACCTCCCCCTCCACCCCCCATGCTGGCAACTGGAGTGTGCTTGGAGCACTGTCAAAGGTGAAGCAATGTTTTATCTTATTTTATTTTATTTTATTTTATTTTGATACAGGGTCTCACTATGTAGTTCAGGCTGGCCTTGAACTCACTATGTAGCCCAGGTTCACCTAAAACTCTAGTGATCCTCCTACTTCAGCCTTCCCAAGTGCTGGGATTATGGGCTTACACTACCATGCCTAGCTAACAATAAAGTAATCTTTTAAAACACTATGTAGGAAAACTCTCCAGGGAACCTGGGCTTACTGTATCTTAGTTTTTACACATTTATGGGAAAGGGTCAGTCCAAGAGAAATTGGTGGCAGCAGGTAGCCCTGGATATTTGGCTTACAGGCAAAATTAGAACCTTTCCAAAAGCACCAACCTGTAGCCCTCAGTCATCATTTCCAAGCCTTAAAAACATATCAAGGTCTTGCCTTTTGGGGGGCAGTACTGCTGAGTACTGAGTTACATTCCTATTCCTTTTATGTTGACACAGGATCTCACTTAGTCACTAAGTTGTCCAAGGTAGGCTCAAACTTTTGGGCCTTCTGCCTCAGCCTCCTCCACTAGGGTTACTGATGTGGGCCACCACGCTCAGCTAAGATTTTGCCTTTAATAACTCTTGCTCCACGGGGGCTTGGAAATGGACAGTTTTTAAATACAGGTGTCACTCTTGCATGAAGAGTGTGTCATATGAACAGTGTATTTCTTTTTCTTTTCTTTTCTTTTTTTGGTACCAGGAATCAAACTTAGGACCTTGCACTTGCCAGGCAGGCACTTGTGTTACTGAGCTATATCCCTGACCCTTGAGTGTATTTCTGTGTGTGTGCATGTGCGTGAGTGCATGGAATCCACCCTATAGGATGTCTACATTGCATCCTCCTTCAGTGGCTTCTTATGGGCCATCCTTCTGCCTGGCCTGTTAACTGCACATCAAAATCTGTCTCTCGTACACAGAAGGACAGTATCAACAGAGTGAAAAAGGTAACCCACAGAATGGAAGAAAATATTTCCTAATCATGTATCTCATCAGGGTCTATTTCTTTATGGAACTCCTTTAATTCATTAAAAACCAACTTTATTAGAAATGGCCAAACACTTGAGTTGCTATTTCCCCTAAGAAGATACCACAATTGTAATAAGCACAAGAAACGATGCTGAGCACTGCCAGCCATAAGGAAACACGAACCAAAACCCCATGCTACGATTTCACATCTGGGGGACAGGTAGATTCAGAACAGTAGTCAGCCAACACAGTAAGGATGTGGAGAAGGGACCAACCTACACTGCTGGGGGCTGTAAATGCCGGTTATACAACCATGCAAGCATCCATGGTACTACTGAGTTGTGCACTTACACACAGTTAAGACATTATACCTTTGACAGGGTCTATGTAGTTCAGGTCGGCCTTGAACTCACTATGTAGCCCAGAGAGGCCTCAAACTCATGGTGATCCTCCCATCTCAGCCTCCCAAGCGCTGGGATTACAAGTACGTGCTGCCACACCCACCAAGCCATTACATCCTTTTTTTTTTTTTTGAGACAGGGTCTCGCTATGCAGTTCAGGCTGGCTTTGAGCTTACTTTGTAGCCCAGGCTGGTCTCAAACTTGCAATGATCCTCCTGCCTCAGCCTTCCAAGTGCTGGGATTACAGGTGTTCACCACCACGCCTGGCAGATCTTATGCTAAATGCCTTCACACAAAAAGTAAAGGGTGTGTTGTGTACACCCTCAGGGAGAGACAACAATCAGGCCTAGCTCCAGCTCTCCTGTGCCCTCTTTTCAGCTCTGCTTCTCCGGTTCCTGGATTTCCATCGAATAGGAATCTCAATGCTAGTAGCTGCAGCTCCCACAAGCCCATGAGGACATTACTGAAATGATTTCAATGTTCCTCGTTGAGACCAGGATTATTTCCATGGCCAGATCTCACAGGACAGCCTTGATTGTGCTGGGGGACTCTCCCAAGCTCAGACTCCTAGGAAAGGTACTGCTCTGCCACAAAGTCACCCCTAGATGGTGCTGTGGATCCACACCTGGCCAGGGAGCTGCAGCTGCTACGACACAGCACTGGATGCCTGGGAAAAGTCTGGAAGATTTTTGTTACCACAGACCTAGGGCATAAAGACCCATGCCAATGTCTCAGCCTATGACCACCACCATAAGCACTGTCCTCAGAGAAGCTCTGAGGCCAACCCTGCCGCTGACTCTGCTGTCCAATGTGACTACTTTTTGAAAGGCTCATCCAGAAGACACCTGCCTCTGGGAACCTGAAATTTATGCATTTACTGCTCTCATAGTGGGCACAGGACAGAGGAGCCCCAGCCCTGTGAGGGCTGTGAGCTCTTCTAGAACAGAAACACTTCAGCACTGGGGACCATGCCCAGCCACTCAGAAGAGAGGCCACTGAGAGGGTGGAAGGGTCCTACCCATTGGCTGTACACACACTCAGTGGTTCTATGGTCTTCGGGAAACAGGGCCATATTCTGTGAACACAGTCTGTTGAAGGTCTTGCTACTGGTAACCTAAGGTTGCTGGGCCACAGGATCCAACTCCAGAGATCTTCTTTTTTTTCCCAGAGATCTTTTTTGTTTGTTTTTTTGAGATAGGGTCTCACTGTATATTCCAAGATTGCCCTGAACTCACAGCAATCCCCCTGCCTCTGCCTCCTGAGTGCTGGGATTATAGGTGTGTACCACCACATCTGGCTTCCAGAGGAAATCTTGACTCTCAAAGAGAAAGGACTGGGGCTGGGGATGGTGGCACATACCCACCACGCCTATAATCCCAGCACTTAGGTGGCTGAGGCAGGTGGATAACTGAGAGTTCGAGGCCAGCCTGGGATACCTAGTGAGTACTAGGCCAGTCTGAACTACATAGCAAGACCAGTCTCAAAAGGGGGGTATGACTGGAGCTTGCCAGGGACAGATGTCTCCATTCCCTGCCAATCTGGTACCAACCAACATGGGCACAGGAGGAAAGCTGGGTAGTACAGGGCCCTGTAGATCCACAGAGGTGACAGGGCAGTAGGTTCCTAAAGGTGACGGTGTGATTCACTTGAAGGCAGGTGCAGGGAGCCCATCTCAAAAAAAAAAAAAAAGCCCAAAGATTCAGATGAGAGCAGAGTTCTTAGGCTTGGAAAATTTGGTCAAAGATAACTAAAAAATATCGAGCATATTCTTTATGTACTCGATCCTCTCACCCATCTCCCTAATGTGCATAATAATTTATCCTATGCAGCCAGGTATGGTGGCACATACCTGTAATCCCAGCACTCTTGAGAGTCTGAGGCAGGAGGATTAAAAGTTTGAACCATCCTGAGTACCTCAGTGATTTAGTGAGCCACTGTCTCAAAATAAAATATATTTTAAAAAGGGCCAGAGATGTAGCTCAGTGCGAACGGCCTTGCATTCAATCCCCAGAACAAACACATGCAAGCACACAGCCATGTGCACACACACACTCCACCTTATTGTGTGCTTTATAAATTAATGCAAAAAACAGACACCAAAGAGAGACTTGCCCTTAGGATGACAGTGTGTCTTTGCCTAGGACAGTGTGGGGTCAGCCAAGTATCATGAACGAGCCCTAACATTCTCAACTGTCCTTTTCACCTCAGTCTTAAAACACTGTGCTGCCTACCTGTTTCCTTTCTTCCTCTCTCTCTGTCTCTCTTTGATTTTTTTCAGGCTGGCCTTGAACTTACAGTGATCCTCTTGCCTCAGTCTTCTAAGTGCTGGAATTATAGGCATGTGCCACCAAGCCAGGCCACTGTGCTGCTTTTTAAAAGATGACAGGCTAGGGGTGTATCCCGATGGTACAGCACACGCTCAGCATTATGTGAGGCCCTGGGTTTAATCCCTAGCACCAAAAGTAAAAATAAATAACATTTGAGAGTTTTAACCAAAATATTTAAAATTTACACAGTATGGCATGACCATTCAGAACAGAATATAGCTATCAGAAAACGGTCCAGTTCTACAGGTATCTAAGTACTGGCCAGGCAAGCCAGGTAGGTATTCATCCAGCTCTCAGGCAGGAAGCACAGGCACTAAATTAGTAGACTGAGGGCTTAAAGAGGCCACAGGTACCCAGCAGTAGGTGACCACAGGTAGAGAGGCAGACAACTTTGCTGTCAGCCTTTCCCAGCCTTTCCCTTCTCAAAGCCTGAGAGGACACAGGATAATTCTCCTTACTCTGAAAAACATCTTTTTCTTGACCTTCAAAAATCCAAACTCAGCTTCCCCTAGTCCTGTCTCAGGCTTGGCCAAGCAGTGGCCAGAAGGGTCTAAAGGAACTAAGTAGGGTCCTCTCAGCCTCCTCCCTAGCAGGAATGGGTGCTCTAAACATCTCAGCACCAAGGTTCAGTAACAAGGACCCCAGTGTCTCCAATGCTCATCACACAGCCCTGCGGGGGCTCTGCACCCAGCATCCACAGGAAGCACAGTCCAGGCGACAGGCAGACACTCAGAAGGCTAATGACATCCACATTAAAGGGTTGTGCCAGGACCACCCAAGAGGGAGCCCTTGGCCTGAACTGTTTCTAAGAGGAGCAATTATCTAAGGCTTAAGGGCAAGCAGGCATGGGAGGAGGGCTGGGCGAAGGGTGGGGGAAGCTGGAGAAGCA